CTTCACTCAAGAACAATTAACCTCGCACTCAGAAACAAACAAATGTCTCAAGAATGGCTCATTCAAGGCTCAAACTTAGAAATTGATAAGGACATGCTTGTAGAAACTTAAATGCTCAATTTTGAATTATGAGATCAATATGCTCTTAAGTACAATTCTTGATAGTTCTTATCAAAATATCTTCTCTTCCACTTTATTACTCTCATTAATTCTACTATTGGGGTTATCTATATTCTCTTTCAACTTAAATGATAATGTCATTCATGAAAGCATAGATGCACTGAAAAATTTTATCAAAACATGACAATTGATCATAAGGAAACTTTTATGCAAATTTAACTCAATTATTCAATAATTGCATCTAGAAAAAGAAAACTACAATGTTTATTTCTCCCAAGCTTTACCAAGAAGAATATGATGGTATCTTTCATCTTGATGCTTAATTTGTAAAGTAGTCTTGTCTTTGCTTAGAAAAGGAATCACATACTCAACTGAGAAATGAGACAAATAGAAGGAATGTTTAACCTCATATTTTGGTGAGCTTATACAAGCATGTTAAGACTGCCTTCTAGATAGATGATACATTGCTCCAAAGATAGAGAAAACATAAGAAGACTATCATGCCTGATTTGTTTATTTCTTTTTGGAGTAGTTTATAAAGCCTACCTACAAATAGAAAGTATAAGCAAATAAACAAAGTCAGAATAATGTTAGAAGTCATCTCATAACTTTGCATGATTTAGTGCTTCAACAATTGCTATATGGATTCACACATTGTCAATTTCCAATCCTTAAGGAGTCTAAAATGAAGCAAAATATCTTTGAATGCATTGAGATCTCCATTAGACTTAAAGGGATATTGAGAAGACACTTACAAGCAGTTCAACATGCATTACAATGATGATCATTCATTACAATGTAAAAACCTAGTACATCTCACTAAATACATCAGCATGATAGCATTTAAATCTTTAGTAAAATCTAACTCCTAGATCATTCAAAGTGCAATTGTTTAATGAGAAGTTGCATTCTTTTCCTTGATGAATCCCTTGATTACTAGAGCAATATGAAGTGTGACGTGCTTGAGCTTTGGATCTTCAAGGCTACTCTTGGTTCTTGTGCTTTTAAGCTTGCCCCTTGGACTTGGTAATTGTCCATTGATAGGAGAGAAATGATAGCAATTGAAGATCTCCTCAATCCTTTGTTGGTCAAAGCTTTCTCCACAGATGAATATTTTAAAGGTGTTTTGCTTGACGAAGAATCAAGCTTGACCATGTATGAATCCATATTTCAATTGTTGAAGGCAGGCAGAGAATCAAACAAGATTATGAGAGTGCAAGAAAATAAATAAACATGAATGCCAAACAATAGATAAAGGCTGAAGGAACATGAATATGCTCTAAAGTGATAATGTGTGTGAAGTTGTATCCTAAAACATGGATTTTTGGGAATGCAAGAAAAGAAATAAATGTGGATAGAAAACAAAAAACAAAGGATGTAGGAATGTAAATATGCTTAAAAGTGGTAATGTGTGTGAAGTTATATTCTAAAACATGGATTTTTCTTCATTAAGTATGCTAAGCAAGTTTTAAAGGAGAAGTTGATGATTCACTATTGCAACCATTAAGTTGGAATTCATAGGAAATATTGTTCCTTTGAAAAAGACCAAATGCCATGAAGCTTGAAGAAAAGGTGAATGGAAAGATGCTTGGAGAAAATGAATGATATGATGCTCTAAAGTTATGTACTGAAATTATTTTTATGTCTAAAACATGGATTTCTCCATGAAGAACCCTTTTTTTTTTTCACAAAAATGTGAAATGCTTTGAATCTAGTTGAATAAGGCCCACAAGTTTGAAACACACAAATATAAATTTCTTGTAGAAAATGTAAGATGGTGAGAACTTCTTTGAATGAGAATGTGGACAATTTTTGTTGAAAATCATGACTTGAAGGACTTGATTGAGGAACAAGAAAATATGAGGACCAAATTTAACCTTATTCTAAACATGAAATGAGCATGAGATGAATGTCAATTTGACATGGGATGGAAAATGTGATATAGGTTGAATATGGGTTGCAATGGAAAATGGGGTTGAAAATGTAATGTGAACTAAACATGGATAAGATTTTCATTTTTATGTAATTTTTATAAAATGTGGGACATATGAGAAATATGGGATAGAGATAGTAATGCTTGAAATGAAATGTGAGATGGAAAGTACAATGTGAAATGAATGTGGATGAAATTTTCATTTTTATGCAATTTTTTTTTTTACCATGAAATAGTGATGGTTAGAATGAAATATGTGATGAAAAATGGAATGTGAAATGAACATGGAAGAATTTTTCATTTTTATGCAAAAATTTTTTACAAAATGTGAAAAAGATGAGATGAAGAAGTATGAGAGGGAGACTACCAATGTAAAATGGATATAAATAAATTTTTCATTTTTCATTTTTCATTTTTTAAAATTTTTTATGCAACTTTTATGAAATATGCAAAATATGAGATGGAGATAATAATGCTTGGAATGAAATTTTCAGATAGAAAATGTAGTTTGAAATGAATGTGAATGAGATTTTTCTATATATATATATTTTTGTGCAATTTTTTATATGAGATGGAAAATGTAATGTAATGAACATGGGTGGACTTTCACTTTTTATAAATTTTGTGAAATATGAGATGAAAAATGAAATGTAAAAATGCATATAGAATGCAAAATGTCACATGAGATGAACATGAAAACATATTTTGTGATGCATGAGATGGAAAATGCAATACAATGGACATATGACATGTGGAATTTTCAAGACATATGGAAGATTTAATGTGAAATGAATAGGATGGATATATGACATGTGAAACAATCATGAACTTCCTTTTTTTTTTTTTCTCTCTCTCGTTTTAGTGATGTACGGGTTTGAAAGTGAAGATATGAAGTGTATGGAATGAATGTATGTCATGGATATCATGATGCTTGACATGGTTGACTCAATGAACACCTATATGGGTAGAAAGTATTAACCAATGGAAATATTGTTCCTTTGGAAATGTCTAAAATGATGAATTGTTAACTGGCCTCTTTCATTTTTTGGCATTACTCTAAAAAAGATCCACAACTAAAACAAATGCTTCTTACCCCAAGAATGATGTCTACATACAGAAGATGAATAACTAATCATACCTCAAATGTATATAAGAACAAAAGCCTGTCATGTGCAGAGACAAGCTCAGTGAAGAAAAATGCCCCTTTGTGTCTTAGACATGAGAACGCTAACCTCATGGGTGGGATGCTAAGGGAAACATGTCTTAGGGCTGGTATCTCTTTAAGGCCACTACATATTTTCTTAAAGGGCATTAAGCCTTTTCAACCATTTATCCTCTCGGAATCAACGGGAGATATTTCCAAAAGCTAATACACAAGATGATATTATATCATCAAGTGTTGTATTAACCAATGGAAAGGTTAAATGCTAAATTTGGTCCCTCAATGATGGGAATCAAGATGACCCCACATGTACCACGTCAAGAGATCCATTACACATTCTAGGAGATCAAATCACGAGAGCTAGAGCTAGGAAGATGTGAGAAGCTTTAAATGGCCTTATTGAGCAGATCTGGGTTGATAACAACATGCAACAAGTAAATCGAAGCTTTGATGATTATCAAAGGTAAACATCATTTAGATTCAAGAGAAGCTCAATTGAGGTCATTTATGCTAAATTACACAGTTTTCGTCAAAATCCCACAATTTTGTCACAATTTGTAACAAACTAATATTTCATGTTACTTTAGGTTACTTTCAGTGATTTTCACATTTTTGTATTATTTTGGGCTGAACATTCATTTATTTGAGGTCCAATTCGTGGTTATTAGGATTAGGGCTTAGGGCGTTAGTTTCCTATTATGATTAGAATTACTTTTCCCTATTTAAAGGGCTTGTAACCCTAATTGGGGGGTGGCTATTGAATCTGAGATTTTGAGAGACTTTTCTCTTTGGTTCGTTTCAGAACTTTACAGAACTTATCAAGATTATTCTCGTAGCGTTCTAACCTGACTTATCATTCTTATTCTTAATCGTTCAAAAGTGTGGCGTCAACCAACTTTATACCTCTGGTTCTTGTTGTGTCATAGACAAAAGGTCAAGGTTTGTACCTTTGGTTCTTGTTGCGACATAAACAATGGGTCAAGGTCCTATTATAAACTTGATTGAGCTTTCCTAGAGTTTAGAAATCCCTTGTCGTGCTGTGGGTCTCATTGTTCTCTTTGGGGTTCTCATCATCTTGGTATCAGAGCATCAAATCCTAAATCAGGTTTGCGTATCTTTAATTTTCAGTCTTTATCATAAAAAACAAAACAAAAAAAAAGTTTCAGTGTCATTCTTCTCTTTCTTATTTTGCTCTTCTGAAGTTGTGTTGCTGGTTCAAAAAGAAAAGAGAGAGAGAAAAAGCACGAAAATTAAAAAAAAAAGAGAAAAAAAAAAGAAAGAAGTCATACAAAAAGAATAGGGAATAGGATTGCCAAAAAAAAAAAGACGCAAAAAAAAAAAAGAAAAAAAAAGGGAGAGAGAAACAAGCAACATAATTCTGTGGTTGGAATTCCCTATATAGAGAAGAAATCTGTGGCCAAAACCTTAAAAAAGAAGGAATCCTACTCCAATAAGGAGTTGGAAGAAGGAATCCTACTACAATAAGGAGTTGGAAATTCTCTTTGAGTTCTATTCAAACTAGGAGATTGCAAATTTTGTTTATTCCTTCCTAAGTTATGAATCCTACTACATTAAGGAATAGTCAAGTCAATTCCTACTAGGAAGTGCTTGAACTGATCTATTTGTTTTAATTTGTTTGGGTTTGGTTCTTTTATTGCTTTTCTTGTTCATTCCTTTAAGTCTTTCTTTTAACTCTTGTTGCAAATTTGTTGGAGTTAGATTGCTGCAAAATAACTTGAATTGAGCTTGTTTAGTTAAATAACGAACTGAAAGAGGAAAGTTGAGTGAGGGAAAAAGGCAAGAGGTGTGAGCAACACATGAGAGAAAAGCCAAGTTCTACAATGTGCAAAACACGAGCGTTGAGTGCCATTCAGTGAGAGAGATGAGTGAAACACGTAAAGGAGTGTTGTGAGGTCCTTTTGTTCTTCTGTTTTTAACATTCATTGCAGGTTTCAATCATGTCAAGCAGTGATGACAAATCAACCACTAGAAGCCACCATGTGGATGAATCCTTCATGCTCAAAGCAATGCAACAACAATTTCAGAGGCTGGACATCATGTTTGGTGAGATTAAAGACAAAATGGAGAAACAAGATGCAACAATAGCCAAGTTATACTAAACACAGAATGGAAGTCTGAATTTGTGTAGGAATGATGCTAATGACGATTTTGATGACGATTATGAAGATGCATTCAACAATGAGCCCAAAACTCAAAACATGGACAGAATTATGAGAGGTAGAGGGGGCCAATGAGAGCAAAATCTGATGAGGTGGGGAGATCGGCAAGATCGTGACTTAGGTAGCATCAAGATGAAGATTCCTCCATTTCAAGGCAAAAATGATCCAGATGTGTATTTGGAGTGGGAAAAGAAGGTGGAATTGGTGTTTGATTGCCATAACTATTCTGAGAAGAAAAAGGTGAAACTAGCAGCGGTGGAATTTACTAATTACGCTGTGGTGTGGTGGGATCAGCTTGTGCTTAGTTGTCATAGAAATCGAGATCATCCTGTTGACACTTGGGAAGAGATGAAAGCTATGATGATAAAACGATTTGTTCCTAGTCACTACTACCGTGATCTCTATCAGCGATTGCAAGGCCTTACTTAAAGGTCCAAAAGTGTTGAGGATTATCACAAAGAGATGGAAATTGCAATGGTTAGAGCGAATGTGGAAGAGGACAGAGAAGCAACTATGGCACAGTTTCTGCATGGCTTAAATCGTGATATAGCTAATGTGGTAGAGCTGTAGCATTATGTGGAATTAGAAGATATGGTGCATATGGTAATTAAAGTAAAATGGCAACTCAAGCGTAAAGGAGCCACTAGTAGAACTAGGCAAAATTCAGGTTCCTCATGTTCTTGGAAACTGAATTGGAGCAAAAAGGAAGAAAATTCTGCTTTTAAGCCTAAAACTGCAACATCTAAGTCAAAAGAAGTTGGCAGCAATGAGAAGAGTAAAACAGATAATACGCAAGGCAGAACCTGAGACATAAAGTGTTTTCGATGCTTGGGAAGGTGGCATGTTGCATCGCAAAATCCTAATAAGCACACGATGATCTTGAGAGAAGATGGAGAAATTGAAACTGAGGGTGAATCTGATGCTGAATCTATGCCACCATTAGAAGAAGCTAATGATGCTGTGGAATATATGTTGTTGTTGGAGAACTGCTCATAACTAGGCGAGCTTTGAATGTGCAAGCCAAAGAAGATGATGAAGTACAACGTGACAATATATTTCACATGAGGTGCCATGTCAAATACAAGGTATGTAGTGTGATTATTGATGGTGGTAGTTGTACTAATGTAGCTAGCACTGTTTTGGTTGAAAAGCTAAATATGACAAAGCATCCAAGGCCATATAAGCTGCAATGGTTAAACGATTGTGGAGAAATCAAGGTAAATAAGCAAGTTCTGGTTTCATTCTCTATTGGACGATATAAGGATGTGGTACTTTGTGACGTGGTTCCTATGCATGCTGGACATTTACTTTTAGGGAGACCATGGCAATATGATAGGAGGGTAACACATGATGGCTTCAAAAATCGCTATTCATTTGTGATGGAGTGGAAAACAATTACTCTTGCACCATTGAGCCCAAGGCAGGTTTATGAGGATCAACTGAGAGTAAAAAAAGAGAGTGAGCTGAGAAATGAGAGTGAGCTTGAGGGTATGAAAAACAAAGAGAAAACAGCAGAAAAAGAGTCCAAAAAGAGAGAAAAGATTGAGAGCATTGAAAACAAAGAGAGAAAATCAGTGAGTGTTTATGCAAAAGAAAGTGATGTCAAGGCTACGTTCTTTGCAAAGCAGCTTGTGTTTGTGCTTCTGTATAAAGATGCTTATTTCAACTCTAACGAACTTAATGATTCTTTGCCTAGTGTTGTTAAATCTCTTTTGCAGGACTTCAAGGACGTGTTTCCAGAAGACATCCCTAATGGTTTACCACCAATAAGAGGAATTGAGCATCAAATTGACTTTATTCCAAGTGCAACAATTCCGAACCGACCAGCATATCGAAGCAACCCCAATGAGACGAAAGAACTTCAAAAGCAGGTTGAAGAACTCATGAAGAAGGGGCATGTGAGAGAAAGCATGAGTCCATGTGCAGTTCTAATGCTACTTGTGCCTAAGAAGGATGGGACTTGGAGTATGTGCGTTGATTGTTGTGCTGTCAACAAAATCACTGTAAAGTATCGTATCCCTATTCTTAGATTAGATGACATGTTAGATGAACTACATGGTTCTTGCAAAGTGAGTATCATCAAATTAGGTTGAAGGAAGGTGATGAATGGAAAACAGCCTTTAAAACGAAACATGGTTTATATGAGTGGTTAGTTGTGCCATTTGGATTAACTAATGCACCTAGTACATTCATGTGATTAATGAATCATGTTTTGCATGCTTTCATTGGCAAATTTGTGGTTGTTTATTTTGATGACATTCTGATATATAGTAAGAGTTTAACTGATCATATTGAGCATCTGCGAATGGTATTAGAGGTTTTGAGAAAAGAAAAGTTGTTTGCTAACCTTAAAAAGTGTTCCTTTTGAACAAATCAGATTGTCTTTTTAGGGTATGTTGTTTCAGTTGATGGAATTGCAGTAGAGGAAGAACAGATTAAGGCTATTAAAGAATGGCCAAACACCTAAGAATATTTTTGAGGTGCGGAGTTTTCATGGTTTGGCAAGTTTCTATTGGAGATTCATCAAGGACTTTAGCACAATTGCAGCTCCATTGATTGAAATCGTGAAAAAAAGTGTCAGATTTAAGTGGGAAAGTGAACAGGAGAATGCTTTCTCAATTTGATTAAGGAGAATGTAATTTTTGCACCATTACTTGCTTTACCTGATTTTACTAAAACTTTGGAAATTGAATGTGATGCATCAGGTATTGGCATTGGCGCTGTTTTGATGCAAGAGCAGCGGCCTTGATGAGAACCCCAAAGAGAACAATGAGACCCACAGCACTATAAGGGATTTCTGAACTCGAGGAAAGCTAAATCAGGTTTATAATAGGATTTTGACCCATTGTTTATGTCACAACAAGAACCAAAGGTAAAAACCTTGACCCGTTGTCTATGACGCAACAAGAACCAGAGGTATAAATTTGGTTGACGCCACACCCTCAAACAATTAAGAATGAGACTGATAAGTTAGGTTAGAACGCCACAAGAATAATCTTGATAAGTTCTGTAAAGTTCTGAAATGAACCAAAGAGAAAAGTCTCTCGAAAACTTAAATTCAATAGCCTCCCCCAATTACAGTTACAAGCCCTTTAAATAGGGAAAAGTAATTCTAATCAGAATAGGAAACTAACACCCTAAGCCCTAATCATAATAACCATGAATTGGGCCTGAACTAAATGAATGTTTAGCCCAAAATAATATAAAATACGTGAAAGTCACTAAAAGTAACCGAAAGTAACATGAAATATTAGTTTGTTACAAATTGCGACAGAATTGCGGGATTTTGACGCAAACTGTGTAGTTTAGCATAAATGATCTCAATTAAGCTTCTCTTGAATTTGAATGATGTTTACCATGCCTTGATAATCATCCAAACTTCGATTTACTTGTTGCATGTTCTTATCAACCCAGATCTGCTCAATAAGGCCATTTAAAGCTTCTCGCATCTTCCTAGCTCTAGCTCTCATGACTGGATCTCCTAGAATGTGTAATGGATCTCTTGACGTGGTACATGTGGGGTCATCTTGATTCCCATCAGGCCTATTGTGTTTTTTAGTGAAAAATTGACTGGTACAGCACTTAACTATCCTACATATGACAAAGAGATGTACGCATTGGTAAGGGCCTTAGAAACGTTGCAGCATTATCTTTGGCCTGAGGAGTTCGTGCATACTAATCATGAGTCGTTGAAGCACCTCAAGGGACAAGGTAAGTTGAATAGACGACATACTAAGTGGGTGGAATTCCTTGAGACATTTCCCTATGTGATCAAGTACAAGCAAGGAAAAGAAAACATTGTGGCTAATGCATTATCTCACAGGTACACACTTATCTCTGCTCTAAGTGCAAAGTTATTGGGATTTGAGTACATTAAAGAATTATATGCTAATGATCTAGATTTTGCTAACATGTTTAATGCATATGAGAAGGCAGCTTTTGATAAGTTTTATAGGCATGATGGGTTCTTATTTAGAGAAAATCGATTATGTGTGCCTAACTGTTCATCAAGAGAATTGTTAATAAGGGAATCACATGCGGGTGGCTTAATGGGATTTTTTTGGAGTTAGGAAAACTTTAGATATTCTGAACGATCACTTCTTTTGGCCACATATGAAACGCAATGTTGAAAGGATGTGTGAAAGGTGCATGACATGTAAACAAACAAAATCTAGAGTTTTATCACATGGTTTGTATACTCCCTTACCCATACCTACTGAACCTTGGGTTGATATATCTATGGATTTTGTTCTGGGCTTACCAAGGTCGAAAAGAGGCCGCAATTATATTTTTGTTGTTGTTGACAAGTTCTTGAAGATGGCACACTTCATTCCATGTCATAAAATTGATGATGCAACCAATATTGCTGATCCATTCTTCAAGGAGGTTGCGACAAAACATAGAGCAACGAACTAAGCAATATGCAAATCAAGCCAACAAAGGGCACAAGAAAGTTGTGTTTGAACCTGGACATTGGGTTTGGGTGCATATTCGGAAGGAGCGATTCCTTGCACAAAGGCATTATAAGTTGCAACCAAAAGGCGATGGATCATTTCAAGTGATTGCAAGGATAAATGACAACACATACAAGTTGGAGCTTCCTGGTGAGTATAATGTTAGTGCTACTTTTAATGTTTCTGATCTTTCTCCTTTTGATGTAGGTGACGATTTGAGGACAAATCCTTTTAAGGAGAGAGGGAATGATGGGAATCAAGATGACCCCACATGTACCACGTCAAGAGATCCATTACACATTCTAGGAGGTCTAGTCACGAGAGCTAGAGCTAAGAAGATGCGAGAAGCTTTAAATGGCCTTATTGAGCAGATCTGGGTTGATAGCAACATGCAACAAGTAAATCGAAGCTTGGATGATTATCAAGGCATGGTAAACATCATTCAGATTCAAGAGAAGCTCAATTGAGGTCATTTATGCTAAATTACACAGTTTGCGTCAAAATCCCGCAATTCTGTCGCAATTTACAACAAACTAATGTTTCATGTTACTTTAGGTTACTTTCAGTGATTTTCACATTTTTTGCATTATTTTGGCTGAACATTCATTTATTTGAGGCCCAATTCGTGGTTATTAGGATTAGGGCTTTTAGGGCTTAGGGCGTTAGTTTCCTATTCTGATTAGAATTACTTTTCCTTATTTAAAGGGCTTGTAACCCTAATTGGGGGGAGGCTATTGAATCTGAGATTTTGAGAGACTTTTCTCTTTGGTTCGTTTTAGAACTTTACAGAACTTATCAAGATTATTCTTGTGGCATTCTAACCTGACTTATCATTCTTGTTTTCTTAATCGTTCAAGAGTGTGGTATCAACCAACTTTATACCTCTGGTTCTTGTTGCGTCATAGACAAAGGGTCAAGGTTTGTACCTTTAGTTCTTGTTGTGACATAAACAATGGGTCAAGGTCCTATTATAAACCTGATTTAGCTTTTCTGAAGTTTAGAAATCCCTTGTCATGCTATGGGTCTCATTGTTCTCTTTTGGGTTCTCATCACTCAACTTTAGTGAGTTGCACATTTTTGGTCCCTCAACAATTTTTTGCACTTTGTTGATCCCTCAACTATACAAAATGCACTCTGTTAGTCCTTCTGTCAATTTGGGCTGTTAACTCGACCACATGGCATTTTTTATATTTTTTTTATGACATGGCAAGGACAACTTAAAAAGGTACTGATCTGGACTTTTTTTTTATGACATGTCATCTTCTTCACACCAAAGTCCCTCCAATGGATCCCACGTTTCCTGCAAACTGGTCTCTCAACTTCACTCTCTGCAAAATCAATCTAACTCATATCTTCTTATTCTCTAAATGCTCTCTCATCTCCACTCCATCTGCAAAATCGATCTTAACACATTTCTTCTTCTTCTCTTTTCTTGGGGGAACTTGAGCTATTGGGTTTCATTGAAACCTCAAACCTGGCAGATCTTATCAAATCAAATTAACCCTTCAATAAACAATACCAATCAAACTCTAATCGAATTCCAACAAAAATACAATCAAACTTTAATAAAATTCCAACAAAAATGCAATAAAATTGTCAACCCTCAAATTTATTAAGAATTGGGAATGGAAATCGAAAGAAGAATGAAAAAAAATGAACCCAACGTCGAAACAGCAAGGCTGGGTTCATCAGAACCTAGCTGATCTAGGTTTCGACAAACCCAGCCTTCGACAAAACTAGGCTGGTCGCGCGAACCAGCCAAGGCTAGGTTCGTCGACCAACCAAGGCTGGGTTTTGCTGGGCTTCGATGAACCCAGCAAGGAACCCAACCTTGGCTGGTCGACGAACCCAACAAGGCTGGGTTTTCATTGAACCCAGCCTATCCCAGGGTAGGAAAGAAAGAAAGAGGGGGAAGAAGAGGGATTGGGAGGGTGAGGGTAATAAAGTAATTTTATTTGTTTTTAATTAAAATATACATATTAATCTATGTGGCATCTTTATTTATTTATATAACATAATTATAATATATATTATCGCCACATCATCAAAAAAATTAAAAAACAATGCCATATGAAATTATTTAACTGCCACATCATACTTAACTGATGGAGGGACCAAAACTGTGCAATTTTTAGAGCCAAGGGATCAAAAAAATGGAAAAAATTGTTGAAGGACCAAAAATGTGCATTTCGTAAAGTTGAGGGACTAAATTTAGCATTTAACCCAATGGAAACAACCTAACAGGAATCGATCTTACTTTTCAAAGTGGGAAGAATTGCTCTTCCAAGCTAGATTTATAAGGATTCCAGACTAGAGGTTGGGTTCACCTCAGACACGAACCTAATGCAAACATAAGAATGAGTGTGTGCAATGGGCGTTGTTGGCTTAATGTACTCCAAGAGGGGGGTGAATTGGAGTTGAAAAATTTTTACCTTTTTGAACACACCAAACAAAAATCAAAAAGAGAGTAGGGAAGAAGAGCTTGCACAATGATTTTATAGAGGTTTGGTCCAACCACTTGGAGCCTAGTCCTCTACCTTGGCTTCACTCACCAAGGCTTTCCTCCACACTCTCCACTAACAAAATCAAGGGTTGCTTAAAGGAGCCACTTAATCCTTTTACAAGAAGAAGAAGGGTGTTTCTCTCAAATCTCACTCTTTTACAAAGCCCAAGAATCCTCTCTATAGATCACTCTTTAAGGAATAATCACACCCCTAAGAAAATACACAAATAGAACAAAAAGAGGATTACAAGCAAAGATCACTCAAAGATCAAAACTCAAGCTAAAGCCTAAGTGGGTAGGTAAAGATATTCAATGCAGTGCTCTAAAACTTGTTCCAGACCTTCTACCAACTACATTTATAACCTCATTATCGAAAATAACCGTTACTAGTTGTTGGGGGTCATTTAAATGCTTTGCAGGTCGTGTAATTTCGAATTGTAGAATTGTCAGCATAGTTGGCTCAAACTTTTATAGTCGGCTCCACAACCAACTTAAAAAATAGCCAGCTTTGCGGGTTTCTTGCACATTTTGTTTTTCTTGAGAGCTGGTTGTAAAAACATAAAGCCGGCTTTGGGATTCGAACTTTGAAAACATTCAATAATCTTTAAATAACTTGACTATTATGCATTAAATACACCCTTACAGCCGATTGCAAAGTCAAAGCCGACTTTACGTCTATTTTTCGTGCGTGCCAAGCAACGGACTTAAAATTTTCACCCATAGAACCGACTGTAGCTTCTAGAGCCGACTTTCTGCAATTTTACCTTCCAGAGCTGACTGCAAATTTCCTTAAGCTAGCTCTCTACACATTTTCAGCCTTTTTGATCCTTTTTAGTGCAATCCAAGTTCACTTACTTTTATCTTTTAGGAGTTTAACTACACACTTAAATAAACCAATGAGTCACTTAAATGTGTTTTATAATCATCAAAATCATAGGTACAACAGGCATGACACTCCAATAACTTGCATATTGGTAACCACAACAATAGCAACATATATCGCATAGTAAGTAGATAAAACAAGTAGATAAAGCATATAAAGCACTCGATAGATATAGCACCCATAAACAAACCTACTTACACGGTAGGAAGGGACTTACCTAGTACTTCCATGCCAAATGCAAAAGGTTAGCGACACAAAGCAACCAACACTCAGCATGCAACAAGATGTAAATAATCACACAAGAGGGGAGAGACTCACTAAGTACTCCATAGCCAAATGTAAAAGGTGAGTACATCCACACACAAGCAAGTAAGCATGTAAGCATGATGCATGATGAATAAGCATGTAACATCAATGATGGATGAGCATGTGAGATGATATGATGCATGAACATGTGAGCAAAGTATGATGCAAGTCAAGATGTACCAAGATAATTGCTCAAAGGCAAAAATAGTAAAAGCAACCACCAAAGTAACAAGCAACAAGTAAAGACTCAACAAGCAAAGAAAAATCAAAAGCTGAAAAATTCCCCAAAGTTAAAGTATTAGCTTGACCTTCATGAACCCAAAATATGGAAACCAGAGATTTTGGGTTTGATCCCCAAAGGAGTCACCAATCTGTTGATGACCACTTAAGATTTCAAATTTTAAAGATTTAAAGCCAATTATCGTCCCTCTACTTTAATATTTTATTCGTTCTTATCCCTCTACTAAGGACATATTCGTTGCCGTCCCTCTACTCTACCAAAGAGCCAAAACGTCATCCCTCTACTTCGTTTTTTTTGTTCGTTGTCGTCCCTCCCCTAACACCGTTCATGTTGCCATCACTGCTGACTGTTTAGGACTTAACGGTCAGCAGTTAAACCCATTTGTTCTATTTATTTTTCTGCATATGCTGCCACATGTGATGCCACCTGTGCAAAAATAATAGGGACCACTTTGCCCAGTTGCTTTCAATTTTTTTTTGTTGCCGGGAAATTTTTTTTTGTTGCCGAGATGCGAGATGCCATCAAAAAAACCACACACCCATTTCCAATCCTACTCCCTTCGGCTCCGGCGGCCTAAAAACGCCACACACTTAGTCGACGGGCGCCTATTTCATCACCACCGAGGAATCATCTTCATTCGATCTTCCTCATGGCGGATCCTCAATTATCGCCCTGGGCTCCCGTACAACTTTTTCATTTTTCCTTATTTCACTATAATTTGTTATTCCTTCGTCCTTGTTTTTGTTTAGAAAAATTTTTAGATCCAATTAATTTTTTAGTAAAATCATACTCTTAGAATAGTAAGTGGTATATAATTAAACTCTAAATACTAAATTTTAAAATCAAAATAAGACTTAACACTCAAAATACTAAATTTTTAAAATTTAAATCTTGAGAACATATATCTTAAACTTTAAAAATTTAAACTCCCACATTATAAATATTTAGTTGTAAAAAATTTAAATCCTAACACTCTAGACATTTAATTGTAAAAAATATAAATCTTAACAATTTAAACATTTAACCTAGAAAATTATAAACTCTAACACATTGAAATATTAAATATTAAAAAATCAAATTCTAATATCCTAAACATTGAATTTAAAAAATCTAAACTCTAATACTTTCAACACTAAACTCTAAAAAATTTAAAAGTAATGATAAGGAAAACAAAATTTTGAGACCAACATTGAATTAGTTAGCTATATCATTAAATTAATTTATACATATAATATCATGAGTTTTAAAAAATAAAAAGAATTAATCATTAAATAATATAAGATTTATTTTTTAATATTTTAAATGATATGACATCAATCTCAAATTTTGCTCTCATTTATTATTATTCAAAATTTAAATCCTAAGAAATTTAATCTTTAACCCTAAAAATACAATATAAACCATAACATATTAAATACTAAATCCTAACATTACAATCATTAAACTATAAAAAATCTAAATCCTAATCTCTTAAATTTAAATAATTTTATTTGATTTTAAAGTCATAAATAATATATCTTTTAAATTTAAGAATTTAAAAATTATAATTCTATAGACTTAGAGACTTAGAAATTAAAAGATGCATTTGTTTTAAAGATTAAAAAATAACTATCAATTATTAAATTTAATCAAATAATTTAAATATTTTAAATTATAAATTATTATTATTATTAATTATTAAATATAAATAATCAACTATTAACTATACCAAAACATTCCATTCAAACGTCACCTAAGACTTAAGAATCAATTGCGCACTTTCTTATACACGGAAAGGGTCAAGGATTCAAGGAGTCAAAAGGACGTGGCAATCTTCTGTTGGCATGGGGATGGGACCTTCAGCCGCAATAGCATTATTCAGATCGAAGAATAGATCTTTTCCTGACTCTCCTCTTCTTTCTTTCTCTCCCAAATCCTTCAATCTGAACTCACTACTGTAAACAATTTTTGGAATTTAAATACAGAGATTATTGAATTTTTAGTTATCAAGAAAAAATCGCTTTCCGGTTTGCAAAAAAAAAAAAAAAAAAAAAAAAAAAGAAAAAAAAAAAAAGGAAAAAAGAACCACCCAACCAACAACGACTTTGCTTTATTATGACTAAAGTGAATGTGCATGGAATAGAGTAGACTAAAGACTAAATAAAAAAGGTCATCGGTCATCGCTTCTGCAACGCTGTTCTTTTCTCTTCTCTGTCTCAGTACTCAGAGCAATATGTACAGAATAGGAAATGTTGTGGTAAAAGTTCTTAAGCTCGTATATGGGCGTTGCTTCTTCGATCCCACCACCGAGGATGTCGTCTCCGTCCCCACCGTGAAAGTTCCAGCTCTTGTCATTGATCTCTCTCACTCTGAAACCACCTCTCAGGAATTTTCTGCTAAGATCCAACTTCCAATCCTGGGTTTTTTCGCATGATTCCTATTAATTTGCTTGCAGTGAGCTAAACGAGGAAATCTAGCTAAGTGAATTATTAATTAAACTACCATCAATTGTTTAGGTTCCTGAAGGGCTCAGTAAGAAAGTTGTGGCATCCAAGAGGGTTCAGGCTGAATGGTATCTATATTTATTAAACTATTTCCTGATTTCCATTTGTGATGAGTAAAAAAAATGGTTTGATATACACAAATTTTTGGGTTTCGTCACTTTTTGCGGTGTATAAATAATTTTGACAACAAATAAAGATACAGAAAGCTGTTAGAGGCATGGAAAGATGCAACACCCCCACCAAAAACAAGAGAAGAAGCTGCTAGGCTTGTCATCCAGACCTTGGGGGGGAATCAACATAGCTCTTGGGACCTTAGTTAAACTCTCTTTTAAGAATAAAGGGCAAGCAAGGCCCCTACAAAAGGCGCCCGTCAACTAAGTGTGTGGTGTTTTCAAGCTGCCGGAGCCGGAGGGAGTAGGATTGGAAATGAGTGTGTGGTTTTTTTGTTGGCATCCCGCATCCTGGCAACGAAAAAAAATTGAAAGCAACTGGGCAAAGTGGTCCCTATTATTCTTGCACAGGTGGCATCACATGTGGCAGCATATGTGGAAAAATAAATAGAACAAATGGGTTTAATTGCTGACCATTTAGGACTTAACGGTCAATAGTGATGGCAATATGAACAGTGTTAGGGGAGGGACGACAACAAACAAAAAAAGCAAAGTAGAGGGACGATGTTTTAGCTCTTTGGTAGAGTAGAGAGACGACAACGAACATGTCCTTAGTAGAGGGACAAGAATGAATAAAATATTAAAGTAAAGGGACGACAATTGGCTTTAAACCAATTTTAAAAAGAAAAATAATGAAAAATTAAGTATGAAAAATATAAAAAGAGTTGTCACTCATCCAAATTATGAGGTGGGACAAATTACCTAAAAGCAGATTTGCATAGAGATCGAGGTTCAGGGGTTCATGGGTTTGGCTAAGAGTGAGAAATGGCATACGCATACCTCACAATCCTTCATTTAAACATGGTTGCATACTTTAACATTGGGATTTTAACTCAACTTATCCACTATATTTATCTTTAGGTCTTAATAAGCAAGCTTAAAAAATGGATGGACCAAATTGCAACATTTTAAACTTTTGGACTGAAATGGGCAAAATCAAGAACATGCATGCATAACAACCACAAATAAAAAAGTTAAACGGACTCATTTGATTGAATTCTAAATATAAGAGATTAATTTGAAAATATTTAAAAACTTTTGCACTAAATTGCTTGATCATGAAAGCTTTGGGTGAAATTGAAATGAAAGGGAGATAATTTTGACTTTTGCCTAAGATTAAGGAAAATAGAGGATTGAAATTAAATAATTATGATAATTAATTTAATTGAATGATTAATTCAACATTAATTAAAATTAATTCCTCACATTTATTAGCCTCTAATCAAGATAACTAAATAAATCTAATTCTCTCAAGTTAAAACCAATAAACATGTTTACTTTACTTTAATTAAAATTAATTAATTTCCTTAATCATGGATTAAACTAATTATCCTAATCAATTAATCATTTCGTTTATATTTTTACCTTTTTTTTTGTATCCCTTCACCCTTTTTAGTTGTTTTATATATATCTATATATATCTATATATATATCTACTAGATTGGGCCAAATTTAACTGGCCCAAAAACGTAAATCATCCAACAAAATATGCAAAAATAGATCATACATTGGACAAAAATGAAATTTGTACAAAAACAAAAGAGAAATTTAGGGTTCATTTTCAATTACATCTCGTTTCCAACAAGAAATGCAATCATCAAACAAAATAAACAGAACAATCTTTGATTCTCATTCGTTTTCTAGCAAACATATACAAACTTAACATCAAATCTAAAATAAAAAAACACAAGGAAAGTCAACAAAAAATGACAGAAGCAAACATGGCAGAATTTTTAGAAGAAAATAGATCTAGATTTGATGGGAGAGATCCTACCCCCAAGACCAGGCTCTCATCACTTCCTTCATTACCTTTCCCAAAAACCCTTTATTTCAGAAGATTACCTAAAGCAAGAACACCCCAAAGATATGCTACCCAAGCTCCCTTTTCCTCTTTATTTTTCTGCCTCCAACTAACAAAATTGATCTTCTTCTTCCATTCAAACCAGATCTCAAACATTCCTCCCTTTCTTGTCTCTGTCCTGATGATGGTAATGATGATGGTGACGATGATGAGTAGGAGATTGGAGGAATGGTATGTTAATAAGAGATGGAGTGGTGGTTAAAATAGGAAGAAGAGAAAATGAGAGGAAGGAGCAATCTTCCTTTTATTATTTTTTCTTGGTTGGAAAAGAAAGAAGATCCTCCCCTGTTTCTAATGGCCACCAAACTGCTTTGCTTTGATGATAACCAATGGTGGTGGTGAAGACTACGATGATGATGAGATCCACAAAAGAATGGTGAAGATTAGAGTCCAAGAGGGCTTGCGACTAGGTTTTTTTTTTTTTTTTAGAGAGGAGAAGGGCCAAGAGAGGAGGAGAAAGATCCTTCTTCTTCTTCTTCTTTTTGGTTTGCTTGGTGATTGGTGAGGGTGATGGTGATGAGTGTGAAGATTGAAAAAGATGATGATGAGATCAAAATCAAAGGGGCTTGGGAAAGGCTAACTGGTTGTACAAGATCTTCAGGCATTTCTCCTTCTTTTTTGGTGGCTGAATCCTCCTCCAATCTTAGATTTCCTTGTGTGATAAGGGTCGAGAAAGAATGAGAGAAATCTTCTTTTTTTTTTTTTTCATTTTCTTTGGTTTGCCCCCCTTCCTTTTTGTCTATTCTTTCCCCTTTTAAAGAGAAAGGAAATCTAGGGTTTTTTATTGTTGGGTTTGGATTTTCATGGGCTGGTTTATGAATTAAATTGATGTTGGGCTCAATATTGGGGTTTGGGCTGGATTCATGAGTTTGTCTTTGTAGATTTCATCCTCATTTTTTTAATTTCTTCGATTGAGTCTTTTTCTTGAGTTTTTTTCCCTTTTTTTCAAATTTCTTCACAAAATTTTCTCTTTTTGTATGTAGCACCTGAAAAAATATGGAATATATGTTAGTTAAAGAAAAAAGAAAAAAATCATATTTTTATATTCTTTTGCTTGTTCTGACATGTTATAAATTTTTATGTTTTTTGGTTAATTTTTGTGATTTATATATATGTATATATTCTTTCATGAAAAGTCTCAATAAAGTTAAATGAAAGATCAAGCCTTGAAACATAAAGAATAACGCTAATTAAAAAAAATTTTAATATAAAATTTAATTTATTCATTGCATAATTAAAATATATTTTCTTTTCGATAAAAATTTGAGTTATCACACTCAATAAGTAAAGATATGAATAGCCCTCACTGAAATTTAAAGCATGTCAAGTAAACATTTTAATTTTAAATAAGAAGAAAATCTTAGTTGTAAATCATTTATGCATAATGAAATTTATTTAGTGGTTCTCTCAATTAATCATGGCCAATGTACTATCCTAGTTGGTTGGATAACTAGTTGGTTGGATAATAGAAATACTAGTGTACTCTCCACTAGCAGGATAATAGAAAATACGGAATGAACCAATTTTACGAAGATACATGTCAACATGTGCCAGTGTTTATAACTCTCATTGGCAGGCTTCAGGAATAATGACCATATTTGGAGACAAACCATGCAAGAGTTAATAGGAAAATTCATAATTTACAAACCAATTTCAAATTATCAAGACAATCAAGTAAACTCCATGTAGGCATGCTCAACTCAATAAAATAATAAGAACTTCGTTTCAAACCGATCACAGTCATGTGCTAATGAAAATCAGGTTAGGTCCCACTACCATCTCAAAAACAATTCAAAATATGCTTTTTAAAAACTTTACCTTAAAATGCATGGGTATTTACCATAATTTTACTTACCTCACCTTGTAATAGACACTAGCATGGAATTCAAGAACTCAAGGCAACTAAGGTGATTTAGAACCTACACCACATCAAATGAATAAACAAGATTACAACATACCCCATTTAACTAAATTGGTTCATAATTCCATAATCAAGTTCCTAATTAGAGAGACAATTTCTTCCGACACACCTTTGCCACTTCAACTCATTAAAACTTTACTAATATATTAATATGTTTAATCATACTTAAAATATGATTAAAATAGCTCCAAATGTCACATGAAACAATAGGCATTCCAAACAAATTTTTTGGATAGAATAAAGTGTAGAAATAGTGAGAAACGAAGCTCGTAACTATCCTAGACACCAACAAAAATATTAGGTAGCAAAGTGGGGTTTCTGCCATTTAAGACAATCCCAAGATGTTTAGAAAAAGCTCTAAACAGTAGGGGTTTTCTAGGCAAAAACGGTAGTGAAAACAGTGCAGAACACAAGCCAAAATTGGGTAGAAATTGGCAACATCTAAGTAGAAATGTAGTAACAAAAAGGTAGCCAAAACAATGGGAATTTTCAAGACAAAACAGCACAGTTTAAGTTCAAAAACTACATTCAAAGCTAGATGCAGAAAGGGATGGGGCCAAGACTTCCATTGGAAGTTACCGACTAGTCCCATAAATGTCAATCCATGCATGTGTGGATTCTTAGTGAGGTCAACAATGATCAAGAGTTCACAGCAAGCACACAAAGAAGGGTCTGGCAAGATACATACCTGGAGCAAAGTGCTCAAGTCATAATATTGAGCACCCAAACACTTCCTATCATTGACAAGCCTTAATCTCTTAATCCATTCAATTACCTCTAGTTCAATTTGCCTAGAGAACTATGCTCACTATTGGTGTCCTTGTTTTACTCCTTTTCCTTGGTAACTTTTTCTTTGGGGGGTATGGGTGCTTTGGCATCACTCTACTTACTAGCTAGCAAAGTGGTTACCTTGCATTCTCTACTCTTAGGTGGTTGCGCCACACTTTTTCGTTTGCCCAAGGTTGGTTTCTTTGAAAAGACAACTTAGATGGCTTCTCTTACAACATTATGTGAAAATGTATAACTATGGAAGAAGAACTAAAGTTTAAGGCAAAAAATAAAGAAATTTATTTGCCTCCAACCTCAGCATCACTACCCAACCCCTGCTCTTATTCTTTGCTAGCCAACCTTTACCTTTATTCTTCACTAGCATCTTCGCTCTAGCCATATTCCTCTTCTCACAATGCTAGAAATGGGCAAGCATAAATGTATCCACTTCCCATCATCTTCTCTGATAAGGGAGCCCTAAGAATGCTTTTTGTAGTAACTCAGGAAAGAATTATTTTGCATAAAGAGAAAATCACAATCTCAAGAAGTAGCATCATATGTAATAACTTTTGGCAATGATTGAATAAGGTAGTGAACTTTTTCAGCAATGTTTCCTGATATTTCAACATCAAAGATGACATAGTTAACATTTGAGCATAACTAAAAATCTAAGTGTGGTTGCACTTTCCCTCAACATGGTAATGGTGACATCAGTAATGTATGGCCACATGGCCACATCCCAATCTAAGCTATTTGACAAAGTAAGGTGAGTTATGTCTTAATCATAGCCAAACTATTGTGTAACTCTTTCCGAACAATAACTCTCAAGGCATAACCCTTGCCATATAATACATGGCAACATGGATGGTGTAGTCATGGCCAGTGTCTCTAAGTGGCTCCAATTCCCTACAGCAAAGTCTATAATTTGATTTCCTAGTACTGTTGCAAGTGTCTCTTCAAAGAAGTTTACCATGTGTGGTGCAAATGTCCTTGGCATTGTTTTGTAGGCATGAAAGTTGAAGCTATCATGATCATCAAGAAAACTGTCAACTTCGAGAGGTTTTTGGCCTTTCACCTTCCTTTTTCTTATATATAAGCAAGCTAGTGGAAAAGTCCCACTAGTATAGTCACACTTTGCCATGGAGTACTTCTTCAAAGCTTTGCCACTAGTATAGTCTAGTAACACAAGCAAGGTGACATAGACATAACCTTTCCCATATAATCATTTGTAGCAAAGATAAGTAAACATATGTCTCAATGACATAATACCCAGTACCAAGAATCTCATCAGAATGAAGTCAAGCATGTGTTAAAGTGTATCTAGCATCAGTGGAGCCAATGGAAGTCTCACACCTTTAGCCAAGCATATGGCTAGCAGTATACACTTAGTTGTGATCTCATGGTTTGGAAAACCTTCGAAGACAAACTTGCTCAATCAAGCAGTGAGGAAGGCTTCATGCACATATAGACTATCCTTGCCTTTGCCAGTTTAGAAATACTGTATCCAAGTTGGGAAATTGATGCTATACGCACCCTTCCATGATTGAGAAGAATCACTTGCATTTTTCTTCATTATTTTCTTCAAAGGCACTTGGATAATGCTATTTTTTTATGCCAATACTATGTGGCATAGATCTTCATCTCCAACAATGGGCAACAACATTAGGTTTGCTACATCTTCCAATGTTACTGAAATGTCTTCGGAGGCAAGAATGAAAGTGTGTACTAGTGTACCATCTCCTCACCAAGCAATGAAGACATTCGACATTGCTACTAATTTGTAAAATTTGGCTCATGGCTACAGATTTAAGAATTCCAACAGTGCATAGTATGTCCACAAAGCCATCGTCAACCAACATATCTTTGGCCCAACCCATCCAAAATTCCATCTTACTCGATGAGAATGTAAAGTGAAGCAGCACCAACAACAAATCACCTGTCTCTAGCCTAGTTAGCATCAGACCTTTTGGCTAAGGGAACCATGCCATGTTGACTTTGCTGTCACTAAAAGCTTAGCAAAACTAAGTCTTTTTACTTCTTAAGCGTCTTTTGATGGACCAAGCATTGAACTCTAGAAACCTATCTTGAAAAATGTATCATGGATCGTGGTATAGGTATACCTCATCAATTCGAAGAAGGTTGGCCATTCTTGAACTCTGTCATGCAAAAAAGGGAGAAGAAAGAGAAAAGAAGAAGAACAAAAATTCAAGTTCAAAAAGATGCCAAAACCTAGCATGCAAAGAAGAAAAAGTTTGATGTTTACCTCAATTTGAAGAAGTATTTTGCTAAATCAACACTCGAGCTTGCCTCTTTGGGTTCAATCCAGACACAATGCCACAAAATCCATAAACTTTTATAGAAGATTGATGAAATATCAGAGACCTAGGGGGAGGAAGTTTGGCAGTTTCTCAAAGGAAGAAAGAACTTGAAAAGTTTTCTCAAAGGGTTGAAGAAGATGGGAAAAGGGGATTGAAAAAGCTTTAAATGCCTTAGCCAACTATCTTCGCCACATGTCACTCATCAACATGGCTAGATGTCATCCAAGGGACTATAGGCAGGGTGTAAGTTATTTTACACTTGCTTGCACTTGATTTATCTTAAAATCTCCCCATTTTTATGCAGCAATTATGACAAAATTTTTGGAGATGTGGATCTTTATCTTTTAAAAAGGGAGGAAGTTATCTTTTAAATTGTTGAAAACTACTCCGAAGGTAGTTTTAATTCCTCTTTGGACTTAAACTACATGTGAATAGTGTGTAAAAAAATCTTTCCACAATAACTACTCTGAATTTATTATTTTTCCAAGAAGCAACAGTGCAACCCATATTGAATGTAATGTCCCAAAATTTTCTAGAACCTTAAAATCTAAGTTGGGGACTTATGTGGGAGAAATTATTATTGTTGGGCCTAATGGTTAAAATTCACAAACCTAAGGGGGTTAAAAGTAAAATCTGATGATAAAAGGGGCTAAGGCTGATTTTCCTTTTTTCTCCTTGCCCACTTTTGCGTGTTTCCCTCAGCCCCTCACTAGAATTTTGCCTCCACAAACCTTAGCCTGCACCCAACACCTCCTCACTAGAAATCAGGTGAGATTTAGTTCTTTTTCTTCCTCCCAAGTTTGATTTAAAGATTTATGAGCTCATGGTTCTCAAAATGATGATCAAAACCAAGATCTTGTTGCTGATATTCCCCAATTTTTTGGTTCATGTCTAGTTCTTCAATGGTGTAAGGGGAGGTTGCCACTTTCAAGCGATTTCAGATAAGAATTCAATCACATTGCTCATCTTTTCATCCTTGATTTGAATTGGATTAACTCAAATCCTTTAGGATTTTCAATTTTGGGATTTTTTTTGTAGTTTCCCCCTTGATTTTGCCCATAACCTAGAGCCATTAGAATCTGATCCCTTTTGTTGGAAACTTTGATAGCATGACCTTACAGTAGTATTTTGACAATAACTCTTTCTGTAGCTATTGGATTAAGTTTATTTTTGATTCTATAGAAAGTTAAGAGATAGCCTACAATCTTCTATTGGATACCCAATTAAGTTGTTTTCAAGGTGAAAACTCTACTACAAGTTTCAGTTCTTGTAGGCAGATGGAACTAGAAGCCCGACCTTTTGTTACTATTTTGACCATAACTTTCTCTATAGATGCCAGATTAAGGTGATTCTTGATCCTATAGAATGCTAAGACATAGGGCTACAATTGATCTAGTAACCATTCAACCCAGTTTGGTTAATTTCTGGGTGAAAATTGATGTAAATCCAAGTTTGAATTTAAAGGATTCTATTCAAGTTCCCATTGGACTAGTTACAAGAGCTCGAGCTAAGAAGTTTAAGGAAGCGCTTAATGGGCTGATTCGAGAAATAGGGACTCAAGCAAATTCGTGCAGGCCTATTGAGGGAAGTCCATGTGAGCCTCAGAATTCCATCAGCTTAATCCAAGTTCTAGAAGACTCTGTCAAAGCCAAGCCTAATCTTTGCAAGTAATGTTCATGAACTTTGGGCGAGAACTCAGCAAGCATTCTGGATCAAATTTATTACTTTCCTTCTTGGGTTTTGGCTTACATGCCAAGTTTTTATTTCTTAGGTTGAATTACACAGTTTACTTTAAATCTACCACAGTTGGCTGCAAACTAATATATCACAATGTTATTAGGTTATTTTAGCTTATTTTTACGTTTGTTGTGTTATTTGGGCCAAACATTGATTTAGTTGAAGCCCAAATTCGTTGTTATTAGGGTTAGGACCTGGTTTGTTAGTATTCTATTCTGGTTAGGATTAGTTTTAGCCATTTATAGGGCTGCAACCTTAATGGTAAAACAGATCATTATTCATCAACATTGTGAGAACGAATTCTATCTGGTTCTCTGAACAACTTTTCGAACTTATCGGAATTATCTGTGGCGTTCATCCTCGACTTATCAATCAACCCTTCCATAGTTGATTGTGGCGTCTTCTTCATATCAAGGTTCTTACCTCGTCATAGGTAACAGGCCGTGGTTCCATCCTCTCGAACTTGTCCTAGAAACAGTCTTGGTGCCTTGTCTTGTTTACTGGTTTCGTCACAAGTTGGCGTAGTTCATATGATGTAAATCCAGGTTTGACTTTAAAGGATTCAATTCAAGTTCTCGTTGGACCAATTACGAGGGCTCGAGCTAAGAAG